GAAATACTACTTTTCAGAGATGTACCTGTGGAATCTCTTTGAATCCTATGCTTCATCTGAGCAAAAACATGCTGGCAAACTGCAATTTATATCTATGTATGGTCAGCAGTAAAATAAATTTGGCAGGCAGTGAAAGAAATTCATACCAGTTCTGAAGAGATGTCAGAAAAAATATGACCCATTTCATAATGACTAAAAAGCATTTCCCCCCAAACACCTCTGCCTGTAGATCATTGGGAAAAGCTGTGGCAAGCTGCAGTTCTGACTCACAGATAAAAGTGTGAGCACACTTTACAGGTGCTGTAAAGTCTGGTATTATCCTTCAGAAGGGTGAATTAGTATTTGATGCCCTCTCTACATAGATCTCAAAATGTTTTAAAAAAAGCTAGAGAGTAATTTACTGTCATTCTCCAGTGGATTGATAATGGACCCAGGAATAGCTTAAATTAATTTATCTGGGTTAATATTCACATGACAGTAGAGAGAGAAACATAATTTAGAATGTGATATTTTTTTTCCAGATGGCTAACTCCACATTTCTTGGCAGTGATGGAGAGATAATAGTGCCAGAACAGAATAAATAGGAATTCAAAGAACAAAGAACCAGTATTTACAGACATCAGCAAGAAAGCTTGGTATAAAATATCCAACTCTTCTGTCCATTGTCACAAGCCATTTTAAGACAGATTTTCATTCCTACTTCTCATTGAGATGCATCTACAGATAGAGTGGCATTTTTTATTATAAAGCAAAAGAATGTGTGTCTGGTTGCCATCTCTGGATTTGTATTCTGTCACTCCATTTCACAGCTTGAGTTCCTGAGCCAATGGCAGTGGCAATGCACACACATCAGCTTCCTCCAGGGGCTTTGTTTACTGCCATTTCTCTGTTTCCCCACTCCTTTCTCCCTGCTCCCTGGAAAGCTAAATCCTGCTCCCAGCCCTACTTGTGTAACTCTGCAGTTTCCCACTGGAGGGACAATTTAAAATTCACATGCACTTTTGGCAATCTGCCCACCTTTGCTGGTCCAAGGCTGGTTATGAAAAATGCTGCAACCCCCCAAAGGAACAGGTAATAAGCTTCGAGTCTCATTAGACTCTAGAGGTTTTCATGGATATCTTTCCTTGCAGATAAAAATCCACATAACTCTACTGCCTTTAAGGTATTTTTTTTTCGTTGTTTTTTTTTGTTTCATTTCCCAGTGCTTTTCTGGTGCTGTGAGTGCTGTGGGCACACAAGGAGGCTCCTTTGATGATAGAGGGCTCAGCTGAAGAGCAGTTTAAGAACATGTAGAGCTTTTTCACTGACACAGGACACTGCACTTGTCCAAACACATGGCATTTTAATCACTGATTTTGCCAGCAATGTTCAAGGTTATATTAGGCCTTGTTCAAGTCTTAGAGCAGCTTTTCTACTGCTGAATTTACACATCTGCCACAACATCATTATTGGGATCCTCTGTAAAGGCCTAAAATGGGAGACACAGTTTTCAGCTTATTGCAGTTGAAGCACTGAGGTCACTCTGTAAGGCAACAAACTAGGATTTGAGGCACTTCATTTTCCAGTCAGCCTTGGTAGCAAACTTCCCTGGGACTTGAGCTGTATCATGCTGGTGTCCTCCCAATGTCTTCCTCTTATCTGGGACATTGAGTTACACCTGGAGATGAAAAACCATCCAAAGTACATCGCCTCTGCCACATCTAGCACTGAATCTGGATTTAATGCTAAATCTAAATAGCATGCAGAGTCTTTCCAACTTACTGGCATCATGTGGCAATATTTTGAACGTGGTGAGGATCTTCTGAGTTTTGTATGCATGTAATTTATTTCCTGCTTCCTGACTCACAGCATGAGGAAATTTAATTAGATTCCTTGAACACGTAATTTAGCTTTTAAAGCCTCAGCACTGAGGTGTGAGGTGTGAGCTCACAGCTTCTGTCAGTGAACAAAATCAGTCATGGGTCATGCAAGTTCCTCTCCCCAGCAGCACCACATCAGCCACAGCCTGGAATTTTGTGGAGAGCCTGGACACTCATGACAGCTTGCCAGACACAGAGGCTTGGGCAGACGGCTCTGAGATGAAGCAGAAGTCAGGGTCACAGTATTGCTTGGGGTGCATTTAAATTAAATTTTCTATTGGCTTCCTGAAAAAAGGCTAGTTTTCTCCTTGGATTACTCAAGCACAAAGAAATATACTCCAGCGGGACCTAAAGGAGTGAAAATCTCCAAGCTAGGATTGCATTAAGAGAAATTGCTGCCTTAAGAGTGTGTCCTCAAGACACTGTCTCAGGAAAGTAATTTAAGGGCTGTAGAAAGCTCTGTCTGTGTAAAGTATCTGCTTGTTTGGGCTACTACCAACCCTGTGTTCTGCACTGGTAATTCTGTGGTGGATGCAACATACCACACTGTCAATTAATAGATATTAATTAACTTTGCATATAGTTTACAACAGCAGCATGTGCAGGAAATTAGATTTTTCAAATGTAAGTTTTCAGGAAAAAGACAGCCTGTCTTATGCCCATCACTGTGTCAAATTTCCAGCAAATTGCTGTTATAGTTCCCAGTTTATGTAATTTTATGTAATTATTATCAAAATGAGACTCAGTATTACGTACACATTTTACCTCAACACTGAAGAATGCACATAGCTATAAGCTGTGTGCCTGGTTTTCTGTTTCTGTTTTTTCCCCCTGGATTCTGTGACATAAAAACTTTTAAAAATAGGTAAAATTGTAAAAAAATCCCAAACATCTACTGCTCTGATAGAAGCCCAAACAAACAAAAAAATCACAAGCAAAACCTCCAACAAAACAACATGATTGAGAACAGCCTCAGCTGTAGTAACTGATAATTAGTAGCATTTCAGCCATTTTAGGTTTGAAAGTCATTTTGAACACAAAAGTCTGCTAACATTCATACAGATGTCTCAAAAGATAGCAAATAATCTAAAGTTGTTCTAAGTAGGTGAAGATAATCAGATTTATTAAAAGGACATGGGGTACAATATTAATGGTAACTCTGATACTCTCTGCCATTTAATGCCTCAGTGATATTAAATGCTCTTAGCTTTTCCCTGTTCATGAAGGTCTCACTTCACAAATAATATGTATTTATTTATGTATTTTCATGTTTGGTAGCAGGATTTTCAGGATTTTCCCCATGCTACTAATTATAATATCCTTTGGTAGCACTAAATTCCCTTCCTGGAGCAGATTTCATCAAATATAAACTAACAACAGTGCAGGAAAGCCTCTCCAGGCAGGCAAAAGAACATTGCAGCAGCTTCTCCATGTGATCCTCCTCATTTCTGTAACTGAGGGTATTCATCATCTTGACAGCCACACTTGAGAGAACATCTATAGCTTCTTAGCCACCTATCTCTGGAGCATGTAGAATAATAGAATGGTTTGGGTTGACTTTTTAAGGTCACCTAGTTGAATCCTCCTGTTCGATCAGGTTGCTCAGAGACTTGTCCAGCCTGACCTTGAACATTTCCAGGGATGGGACATTTACCACCTCTCTGGGCAACCTCTCTGTTCCAGTGTTTCACCACCCTCCTAAATTTTTTTTTCCTTATATCTTAGTCTGAATCTATCCTCTTTAAGTTTAAAACCATTTAAAGCCAAATTTGTCCTATAGCAACAGGCCCTGTTAAAAGGTCTGTGTATATGACAGCACACAGTTTTCTTCTGCTTTCTGGGATATTACTGACATATGGAATTGATGTGCATCCTGATGGCTGCTCCACTAAAAAAAAAACCATCTCACATGAACTTTATTCATGGTATTTCTACAGATGAAGATTTCATAGAAAGAAATGAAGGACCCATATGTCCCTATTTGCACAGTGAGTATACCAAAATACAGAACTGGAGATGAAACTTTCACATAATCCCAGAGGGAGGACTTTAGTCATGTTTTCATTAGAAACCCAGAAGACAATTCATTGGGCATGCTCAACTGATATAAAAGCAGTTCAGGCAAGGCTGGCTGTGCTGCGATCAGGATATTAATTTCCCTTGAAAATGTGTTTTTCTTGAAACTGAACTATGTGAAATTGTACTAATTTGCCAAAACAGTGCCTGAGAGTGAAAGAATTTTTACAATAATCCAACATGCCACTTTTCATAAGAACTTAGTTTTAGGTGTTTTATTTAGCAATTTCCTGTGGTATAAAGGAATACAGAGTGTTTAAATCGATTTGGTTTCAAGGTCATTTTTCTGTTTAGCATGAGACTTAATTTGGAAATCTGGAAAACCCCAGACAAACAGACTTTGCATTCTCTACCTCACTTCTCCTCAGATGATTTGTGTTAAATTTTTCTAGGCTGCTTGCTTTCTTTACATTGATTGGTGAAAATGAGAATTTATAGAAATTACCCATGTCATGGTTGATAGAAATCATTGTGTATGAGGTGCTTAAAAGCCTTTGAAAAAATGTGACTCCAAGTCTCTATGGTATAATGTGGAGATGCATGTAGATAAGATTAATGAACACAAGTTGGGCAGAGAGAAAAACATAATTAGGCTGCTTCTGATGTTTATCAGAGAGGAAGGAGCCATGAATGAAAAGCAGGCATTTAATCAGGGCGGAGAGACGTGCTCATAGCTGTAGCTCGCTGTGAGCAGACCTTGCCTTGCTCCTTTACTTGTCGGGAGCCAGGGTGGAGCAGTGGGAAGGCGCAGGGAGAGGGGGAACATACGGAACACACCTCAGCTCTCCGGCTGCTGTGACAACACTCAGCAGTGGGGCTGCCACAGGGCAGAAATGGCAACAGAGGGTTTGATGTACCTGATAGTCCCATGAATGCCCCCCTCTCCCATGGAGCTTGGGAAGAGGATATGGGAGCTGAAGCACCGTCATGAACAGTTGTCCTTTTTTAACTGCTGGTGGCACCATTGGAAGTCAGCAGAAGCAGAATGCTGGGCATTCTGGTTTCCCCACTTGGCACCATACTGTGCTGTCATCAGCCAGGTAATAATTAGCATTGACTCCATGATTCACAGAAGGCTGATCAATCTCTTTATTTGTTAAGAAACCCATTAATTTTATAGACAGTTATGATACAGCTGGACTTGACTGGTCCTCCAGTCCAAACACCATCACCGCTGGCTAATTAAGAAACCACCCTTTGGTAAACAAATCTCCATAACATATGCCACTTGCTCACAACAACAGGTACAGCAAGTTAAGATGAGAATTGCTTATCATTCTATTCTCTGATCTTCTCATAGCCTTCCCCAGGACCATGCCTGGGAAAGTTGTGCTTCTCTCCGTGGCCAGAGAGCTGCTGCCATCCAGACTTTGGGTTGTGATTTTTAGGGATTTTTTCAAAAACGGGTAGGAAGAGGGGAAAAAAAAAAATCTATAAAAGTTTTGTTCCACTCTGAAAACATCCATCTATCTTGTCAGCCTGGGTAGGCCCATAACACCTCAAGAAGGGAATGGCAGATTCAGGGTCTTGAAAGAACTCAGTACAGAACAGAAGAGTGGACTGCAGACTAAATCAACTGCAGGGATGGTTCCAGTTAAGTATCTGACCCAGTACATAGAAACCAAGTTTGAGAGCTTTTTTAGTATGACAGTAACTGAGCACTGGCACAGTTTTCCCAGAGGGGTTGTGGAGTCTCCGTCATTGGAGATTCTCAAAAGCCGTCTGGATGTGATCCCGGGCGGCCTACTTAGCAGGAAGGACCTCCATGTATCCCTTCTAGCCTCAGCCTCTCTGTGGTTTGTTGTTCAATGAGATTATTGCTGTTATTGTTGTGTCCACTTGCTGTTTCTCTGTAGATAGCACAGCAGAAGCTCCTTCTTCCAGCTTCTGAGCTGTCTGCTTACATCTGAAGCTGCTCCTAAGGCACAGAGAACCTCTGGTTCAGTAAGGTTGTCAGGAAACCATGACCTCAGGCAGCTTATGGCTAATATCATAATACTGCACTGGATCTCACAGCCTCCCCACTCAGGGGGAAGTAGATAGTATTTTCAGTGCATTTTCAGTGAGTATCTATACAGGGGTGCTCAGAGATGGAAGCAGGACTTGGCTGCTTATCCCCATCACCATAAGCTAGAAACAAAATTAGCCTGAGGTGGCTCACACAGATATTATGAAATTGTTATTCACCCTTTAGTGTGAGGCATCTGTTTTAACTGCAAAATAATTACAAGCAATAAATTCAAGCAATTTTACGTCCTTTAGTTCCAGTTCTAGGTTTATACCACTTTAACAACAGCTGTAATGAGTTTTGCCTTCTTGGTCATGCTCAATTTGATAGATGGATGGAAAAAAGTCTGAGCACTGGAAATGCACATTAATGCCATGCAACCACTGTGCATGGGAGCACATCCTGGTGGTGCTGAATGTAGGTGTATGTTGACTCAGCATTTGGGCAGTTCTAGTGCTGTTAACAGATGCCTCATCTTAGCAAGTGAGCAGAGGGTGCACCGAGCATCCCTCTGGCAGTGTTTCATTATCAAGATTCCCCTGCGATGTGGGGAAGTGCTGAGCAGTTTAGGCTATCTCACACTGGTAGGTGGAGGTGGACATCGAAGTTGAAAACCAGCCCATTCCCCCAAGTCTTTTCCCTTTCCCCATTTTTATTAACTGCAAACTGCCTTTTAAATGTTGAACTCTTCATCCCCTAAGATGTACCTAGAACAGCTTCAGGAACTACCACAGCAAATGCAGTCTTAAACACACAGGCAATAAACATCTGGAAAATGTGTGTAAGCATCACTGCACAGCTCTAGATTCTTCCCTCTCACAGAGACCTGCAAGGCTGAGCCTCATCTGGAGAGGGTAGGGGCAAGTACGTCCTTTCCAGGAAAGTTCATTAGACCAGTAGCGAGGAGGGCAGCAGAAAGATGGGTATACTGCACTCTCCCAGCTTTCTGTGGTGTTAGGTACTGAGTGAGGGATGGCAAAAGATGTCATAGTTCAGCTAGTGCAATTTGAAAAGGCTGTACCAAATACTTACACTTTTTTTATTCTTCCCAGATACAGCTTGTTTCTTTGAAGACAGCATGGCTCAATTCAGTCCAGGTGTATTTACAGTGGCTTCTGTTGCAACCTCCTTGTAACCAGGCTAAAATTGGGTTTTTGTTCCACATTTTCTTTTTCCAAAACAGCCCCAGCTCTATTGTCCTGGCTTTTAACACTTGTAGCAAACCAGCAATTGCTGCCTGAAATGCCTTTGTTGTCCACTTGCAAGGGATGACCTTCCTTTTTTTCTCAGCACAAGTCTCCAGATGGAAATGAAATCTTTCACAGTTGAGTGGCTTTCAATACACAAGCAAAGGCAGAGTGAAAAAATTTACCACTGCTATTAAAGCTGCTCTCTGTAAACAATTACTTGTCTTAATAGGGATTAATATAAGAACTAAGCATTGAAAGAAAGTTAAATCACTGCAAAGCCTGTCTTGCAGCTATAATTTCTTTCTGCAAACAGATCTGTGACATTACTGACTAAGTCAGGCACTCTTCATCGAGCAGGTAATCAAGAGTTAGTGCAGAGACAAACTACACTGGTATCCATGGGAAGAAAACCTGTTTATTTGTTGTTAATTATGAAGACTGAAAATTCATGCTGACATACAGAAAGCATACGCTAAAAGGAGTTTGGTGGCTTTTTAGCAATAGAAAGTTTACGTAAGACTTCAACTAAAGGAAAACTACTGTGTGCAGAACACTAGAACAAATAAGAATAAGCTAGGTAGTAACTTTTATTTGGTGAAATTTAATGCACAGTCAGTTCATTAGGAGCCGCAGGAGTAGAGAACTAGCTACTCAGAGATGCACTAGCATAATCAGCTAGATTAAATGCAATCTTTTGAACCACTAATAAGATTACATTTCAGTGAGCTAACAAATGCAATATTGTGATTACACAGAGTTAAAATAGATTTTTAGAATAGAAATCAGGCCAGTCATTTAGATGGAATTAATAGCCCACCTTTCCTTGTTTTTACATTTCTTAAAATTCAAGCTCAGTGCTAATAGCTTTACAGAACCCTTTCTTTGTTATGTTCTGTCTATTTGCCATTCACTGGAATCATCATGTTCAGCCAAGTGAAGTGATTAGTAAAAATCTCATGCTTTGTTGTAGTGTGTGGGAAAGGGACAACATCTGGGGAGATGCGCATCTCATTTTGTTAAGGGACACCAGTCACACAAAGATGCCAATAACTGAGCAGCACAGACAAAGACTTCTTCAAATGCTCAATGTGGACCCTGCAATCCATCTAACTCCATGTTCTGGTGACAGTGCTGGCCTGCTCTGTTTCAGATTCACTTGTGTCTCACCTGTCTCAAGACATTCCTCAGCTTCTCCATGGAGCTCAAGAGGTAGCTCTGAGCTTAAGAGATTGCTCTGGACTCAGCCAGTAGGTCCCACTGAGCTGTGTGGCTTCCCTGAAAAACATCCATGTGGCCAGTCGTGGCACTGCCACCAGAGAAGCCACACATGCCACCTGCATCTCTGTGTGCTAAGCACCTGGAATACACAAATACAGTCTGTGCCATGCAGTACCAAATGCTTAGCAATAATTGCCAGGTTATGTGATAGCAGCTCATTGGCACAATCACACACACCATCCCCAAACCTGCTCCTTTCTACCTCCCCAGCCAGGCTGTCTCCTGACTGCCCACTGCCCTGTGGCCTTTGAGCCGTTTCTCTGCCTTCTGCCCCCCCCTTTTTTTTTTTAAATCTTGTCTCCTTCAGTTTAAATAGTGATTTTTTTTCTGGTGGTAGAAATCAAATACTGTGCTCTAAGTGTAAGTGGATGAAAAGTGTACTACTTTCTCATCTCTGAAAAAAACCCATGTATCTTGATTCAGTCTGTCATATACCATTGGTCACGGCTTTAAATTTTTTTGTCAGGTTTCAGAACTCTGTGCATTCTGAGGTCAGATGACAGGATGCAATATTTATAAAATTTGTTTTTTAATATTTCTCCTAAAAAAAAAAACCCATTAATTTGCTTTTTGGTGGTCATTGTATTTATGGCATTTTGATTGAGTGTTCATTTAAAATAAAAAATTAAATCTTTGACACCTTGAGCCAAAGCTCTGGGATGGAGAATATCCTATTTCCCTCTTTTTTAACTTGTAGAATCTTTTTTACTCAGTTCAATGCTCAACTATTTATTTCTATAGGTCAGAGAGGCCTCTGCTGCAATCCTCATTGAAAACTGATGCCAGCCTTGCTGAATTTAATCCATCTCTTTACACCACTGTCCCCTTTCTTTTTTTTTTCCTCTATGAGACTCCTCCAATTTCCTTTGCATGGCTACTATCTGCCTGAGCAGCAGCAACTTTTGCTTTATCATTATTCTATAATCTCCTAATATCCTTTTTAATATCCCCCTAGTGCAAGTTTTATTATCCTTTTTTACTAAAATAAATAGCAATCAGAATATTATTCATATTACATTTTATAAAGATCATACATTTATGAATTCTATGAAGAGAATAAGCAGACAAATGCAATTGAAATAAAAGGTAAATGCCAGATTAGTATGACATTCTTGCTGTCAGCAGCCTGATTTTCTCCAAATGACCAATTTCCTTCAACCAAGAGTTCAGGTTAGGAATCCTCTCCACATATATGGATAGTCAAGGATTTTTTATTGCTCCTCAAAGCAGAAAGGTTGGAATGGCTTTCTTTGCTCTGCTTGACATGCATTTAAGTATATGTGAAACAAAAGTAGTTACTGGGTTTTTTGGTAAATCACAGAAGCTCAATATTCACTGTGAGCAAAATTCACACTTTTCCATCTATACCCAGCAAGCAGATTCGTGGTGGAATAAAACACTGTCTGCAAAAGGCATATTCAGATAATTTTGTTATTCTCTTGTGAACTCTTCATATTAACTGCAGAGGAAAATAGCACATTTACAAAAGATAATGGTATTACATTGATGCTGTCAAAAGAGCTACAAAAGATGTGACAAAGGTTGAATAAGCCATTGAAATGCAATTTTTCTTTTATGCTACCTGCTCAAAATGCAAATTGCACGTGGTTAGTTTTACATTTGTGACACACCTTCTGCCTGGAAATGTAATTTGCTTAAGAGGTAGTTAACTTCTGTGTAAAAATCAGAAATTTAAGTCTGAGTGAAATGGATCTATTTACATGATATATTTACTCCCAAATATGGACTTGTTTTTTTATTTTGCATTTGCACAAGCACTTTAGGTACTTTTCATCTCTCTTCAAAAATATTTTAAAAACTCCTCTTTTTTTTTAATGCATTTTTCCCCCAGACACTTATTTTAAGGTTAGAAGGCCCTCTATAACCTTTATTGCTTAATCAAAACATATTAAAAAAACCCCAAAAAAACCCAAAAAAGAAACTACCTAATTTTTCTTCTATTCTCTTCAGGTTTTCAAGCAATGAAAAAAAACCCAGGTAACTCCTTCCTGTTGATCCAAGTACAAGGTATGATGAGAGGGTACAGCTTGATTACAGGACCATATCAACAATTTTGGAAGCATGACATGCAGAAAACCAAGGAGGGTCCGAGTCCATGCCCCAGCCTGTCTCCTTTTAATTTGAGCCATAGAGAGTTTTGCCACTTATCATTGTCAGACCTGGCAGCCCAAATGCACAAGTTCATGCACTTACACCAAATTACATCTTCAAAAAAACTTGAGGGACCTGCTGTGGAGTAATCTGGCCATAGCACAAACATGGAGAGGGCAACAAGCACTGGTACTAAATCAGCTTGCTATTTTGTTTCCTGATTCTGAACAATGGAAAGCAATCAAGAAAGGACTTCTGGTGTTCTATGGATGAAAAAGGAATCCGGTATCACATCAGAAAAGACATCATCACCTCCAGCAGGGTCTGCAATCACAAATTCGTCATCAGCACATGTGAATACAGGAATGATGGTGAAACAGTTTTCTACAAAGAAACATCAACTATTTCTAGTTCTACCTGTATCTTTTTGTTTCACTGCAGTCTTTTGAGCAAGTATTTGGAAATTTGCTTTTCCCAAAATGGTGCAGAAGAAGCAGATCACTCCTTCAAAGATGAAAAAAACAGTTCTTCACAATTCTGCATCTACCAATTTTATGAAGAATGGTTTATATATCAAGGTTTAGCCAAATATATCAGCTGCATATTGCCTCATACTACTCTGTCCAGACATTTTTGTTTCCTTTTCTACTCTGTTCTTACTTCCTTTGAAACAACCCCCTTCACTCATCTCTCACTGCATAGAAATTTATAGAAATGAGAAATTCTTTCTCAGTTTTTTTCACTGTATTTTTGCTTGCAATTTTACTTGCCTGCAAACAGTCTATGAGCAAAAAAAATTGAAAGCACATAGCTTCTCTAGCTAGCAAAATGAAATCTAGAAGAGGGTAGGATTTCTCCTCAGGAAAATTGCAGATTGGTAGCTGCTACAAATGGAGAACGCTGTTAAAACTACTGGACTGTACTGGCAGCAAATCAAACAGGCATCAACCTGTTATAAATTAATTTCACTTGGGTGTTTTGAGGGTTCAGTGCTAGGTCTGAGCTTCCAGAATAGTCTTCTAATAGAAGCATGAGGATAATTTACCAGAGTGGTATTAAAACAGTGTTTATTAACACTACAGTAAAAAGTTCATCCTGGAAAGTTGTAACACCAAATGACTGGAGGTCCTCTCCAGTTCTATTAGCTCATATTACCAGTTGCCCAGTTCCTTTTTCTGTGCTGAAATTTCCTATTATTCTACATGAAAATTCATGTATTCAAACAGAAAAGACTAATAAAAGCCTCCACACTAGTATCTCTCTGTGCAGCCTTAGACTGGCCTGATGCACCGGTCACCTCAGTCACTAAGCGAAACTGCTAACTCTCTAGTGTAGCAACACTTTGCTTTCTCTAGGTCTGCTTTCCAAAAAATAAAATGCATGAATTACACTAAAATGCAAGAAACAGTAACACAGGTTTTGTAATGCTGTTGTTGTTACCTCACAAAGTCCTGTCTCTTTTTTGTGGGGCTCAGAACATCTGTGAGTCAGTCACTTAGAGAAGGAAATTAGCTCTTGATTAACACTTACACCTAATTTTATATAATTTCACATTTTCTAGTTTATCCAGCTTAGCCTGCTCTAAATCTTTCTGTACTGAATAAATAGCTTTGTCTTACCCTGTGCTCCTTTACAGGGAAGTGTTCTGGTGCTCTTTTGCAGCCTGGTTCTCAGACATATCCTGTTGCACTGTTCTGCACCAGGGTGACACTTGATGGGGCTGTATTTCTTCATGTAAACACACAAACAAAAGCACCTTTTCTAACCTATTTCAAATGAACTTCAAATTAAGGCAAGAGCACCCCAAAACTATCAAGTGCTCTGAGGACACAGTAGGGGCTTGACTGAATATGCATGAGGCAACTGTTGTACTTAATGGTGACTGACCCAGCATGAAACCAGTATGGGTTCAGAGCTATGCACGTGTCTCTTCTGATGGATGTTTCTTTTTTGTTCCACATCCTCCAGCTCAGCACTCATCTGGCTTCTTAGATGTCACACCTGCGTGTGAAGTAGAAAGCTCTTGGAAAATCCCCATCTATGAAAATACACCCTCCCTCAGAAGAAAGAAGGAGTGAGTTTCTCTCTTCAGCATCAACCACTTTATCTGGCAGCAGTTGAATATGTATTTCATTTTTCATTAAAGTTCATTGAAAATCTGTAAAGCTCCTGAACAGGTTGTTTTGAAGACAACTGAAGGTCATATATTTTGGTTGATGGCTGGAACGTGCTGGAAAAATCAAGTGTCAAATCAGGCTCTGAAACATAAACTTAGTTTGAATTTTTGCTTTTTACTGAGAACATATGTTTGGGGAGATGTGCTGAGGGCAAATCACGCCTTATCTTTACATTTGCATGCTTTTATATATTCAGACAATTAAACCATAAACTCTCAAGGTAACAGGGAAATCATCACTATTGGACTAGAATATTAAATATCAATTTTGGTTAGTAGGTAGCTGAGGACACAGCTCAAGCTTAGTCTTATGTGAGTACACTTCTGCCTGTTGTCTCACTGTATTTGTGTGTCCTTTATTTTTCACTGGCCACAATGCCCACCAATTTGCAAAGGAGTTGCCACTGTTAATAATAGGTGGGTGCTGATAAATTGTGTAACTCTGTCACTTCTGATCACACTTTTCCCTTCATAAATGTAGCTAAGGAATGCTGACTCGCAAGTCCTGTCCCTATTCAGTGGCTCAAGGTAAACAGCCTTTTCCTTTCACAATTTTTGTCAAAGCCTTTCTGACATGCTTCACACACAAAGTATTTTGCTGCCTTTCTTGAAACAAGAAAATCTTTGCTGCAAAGTTAGAACGACCTTGATTTTTTTTCCTGCTAAGATTACACCCCTTGCAGGTACTGCTTCCCTTTGAATGGTTTGGTCTGACTTCTGAAGTAATTTTACAAGGTCTTTATCTCTTCATCCCAGACTAATTCATTATCAATGTCTACAGTCTGTCTCGGACACTGTCAGTGTTCGCACTGCAGTGGCTTTCCCAGCTGCTGCTGCTGCCATTGCAGTTTGCATACATTGCCACACCCCTGGCAATCTTTCTGCAGAGATCTGCCAAAACTGCTGACCATCAGGTTAGACTGGCTCCAGTTAATGTCAGCCATTTTTGTGCTTGGCTCATTGCTGATATTTATTACAAGATAACAAGGATTAACATCAGCAGAAACCTTTGGTCTGGTCACAATGTCATACAGTAAAACCTTCCTAGCACTATGTTTTTCCTTCCATACTGGTAATCTCTCAGGTCAGACAGATGAGGTGGTGAGCACCTTTAAAAAGTAACACTTTAAAGAGCCGTATGTAAACATGCACTTCTATAGTCTAAGCAAGAAAAAAGACGTGCTTATCTAAAGGAAGATATAGGCTTTTATCCCATCAGTACATGTGAAACAATATTTTTTTTGTGGTGGACAGACATTAACCCATTCATATTTACAGTACCTCTGTGTTAATGACACAGTTAATGTCACAGCTTTCCTGCAAATATCTCACAAAGTCCTTGACATCAGAGCAGACCAATGTCTATGTGTCAGTTCCTTCTCTTCAGTGAAGAAATGTCCATGCAACCCAGTCCTAAACATTACAGCAAGAGGAACAAGTTCAGATTTCATGGCCTTAAGAGGCAGCTGCCAAAAGCAAATCATGCTGTGTACAAACCTGCTCCCATTTCAATTCCACTGGCAGGTAAATCCAAACATCCCAAGGAGCCTGTTTCCCTGCATGCTAAGCTGACAAGGACTTTAACACAACCAACAGTGATGGCATGTCATCCAGTCTGATTGTTTTCTCCCCAGATTTACCTCCCAAAGTAAGGATTTAGACAGGGGAAACATTGCAAAGTTTAGATTCCTTAACAGCACTGACAGCCCGAGTCGTATTTTCCAAAGGAGAGGGAATCAAGCTGGGCTGTGCAGTGACTCAAAAACATTTTCAGATGAGTAGCCTTTGGCTACTTCAGATGACACATGCAGCCTACTGAAGCAAGCACAGCCACCAAAAGAGGCAATCCTGCCCTTCTCCCCAGTTGTTTGTTTCCACACTGCTTCTTTTGCTAACACGAGCTTTTCTGTGAATATTCTGCAGTCCTGAGAAGACTGAAAAATAAATCTTTTCATTTATTTTGGCAAGGCTATTTTTCCAGAGTTTTCCAGAGTCTCACTTATCACCTGACTACACAAATATTTGTGCTAGGCCGAAGATGAGGCAGGTTTGAAGCCACAGAAACTACAGCCTTCCTATCTGTAGCAATATGCACAGACTTTTTACAGCCAGATAAACCACCAGCTGTCCTTTGTCAGCAATGCTGTTTCTGCAGGTGAGGGTTGCAGGTCCTGTTCCAAGACCTCTGCCACACCATGACACAGCCATGCAATACTGTACCTTTGGTCTTTCCACAAGAGAACTACCATGAGTAAGTGATCTGCCAACAGCAAAACACCCAGAGTCACGGGTCTATGAATGGCTCAAATGACAGCTTCTCTATATATTAAAATGAGATTTTCTAAGATGAATGTATTTTCACAGAGTAGCCCTAACTGCTTTTTGTGCAGGCTGGTGTTTTTGCTCTTGAAACTTTACCTGGTAGGAACCCCTTCTAGGAGAGAACAGAAAAAAATAAAATGAAAAGGAACTTTGTAGTCTCATTCCTGAACAGCTATTTCATTCTGGTTTTGCTATGTCTTTTCCATTCCTTGGTGTTCCAGCAGTAAGAAAGCAAAACCCAATTACACTTAAAGTAAAGCCGTGAAATGAAAACAACTAAGAAAGCAAAATAGAGAACAGCAAGTGGTCAAGGACAGCACATCTAGCTCTGCCCAGGGAACACAAGTACCCTGCCACTTTGTTAGGCTCATGATGACTGGGCAATTGAGCAGCCAAAACTACCTGAAAATGACAGACTGTGGGTAGGGTTAAGAGCACAAAGTGCCCTTCTGTGTGCAAGCACTTTATCTTCTCCTGGAGGAGGAGGGATGTCTGTGTGCATGGATGCTTCAGTCACAGCTCCAGCACCAGTGAAACCAAGGAATGGACAGGACACTGGTTACAGGGGGACCCTAACAGGTGCTTCAGGCTGGATATGCCTACATTTTAGGGACCATTTACAGTCTGCCTTAATGCGAATAAAAGATGGTACCCAACAGTACAAGGTGTATAATGAATTTAACTGTAGCTACTTGTATCCTTACAAGCTTAAGCTGAAATAAGGGGAAGCAATATTGTTTATTTATTTGAAACTTTTTTTAATGACTTTTTTTCTTCAACTACTAAACCTCTGTAATGTTTGGAGACTGATCTTGAGAAAAGTGCCCTAGTGCAAGACAAGCTACGATGTGCTGGTGACCTTCACCCAGCTCCCTGGAGGCCCCCTGAGTGTGTGATCATCCATTCACTTAGCAGATTCACTCTTCATCATGGACAGGGTTCATCCCACTCACCTTTAATCATGAAGGTATCTAACAGAAGCCATTTCTCTTATTTGCTTCTGTATGGAGGAAAAAAGTAGTTTCCAATTAGTTGTAAAAGACAGACTTACAAACAGAAACAGAGGAGAGTGTAATTGCAAATACTTAAAGCTCTTTTAATTCAGTAGAAGCTCTTTTGTAGTTCTTAATCTTTGAAATTTAATGCTCTGATTACTTTAAGACTTGCAAGTTATGGAATGAAAAATAATTTGGCTTTTTGTTACTTTTATAAATTGAGTTCATTACCTGTCATTATAATAATGGAGGACGTACATAAATAGGAAGGTACATGTACAAATTACATACTATGTAGATGTCTTGAAAAGTCATGGCTCTTTCCCCACTGCTCCCTCTATGATTAATTCTATTTATATAACCAGATTTTTGACCACCAATATTACTTGTTTGTGCCTCTAGGCAATGAACAGATGCACCTCTCTTTCAAGCAATAATATTCTTTACAGGTGATGGTTTCTTATTTCATTTGAGTCTAGAATTAATCTCTTCCAAGTGTATCTTTCTTTTGTTTAGCTCTGCACAATACAACTGTCTTCTGTTGTAGCCTTGTGCTTATACAACTAGTCCAAACAGGTTTCTTTTGTTCTCATTTCCCAAAGGGTGTATGAAACATTACTGACCATTATTCTAAGCTTGTTCTGCAGTGGGCACTGAGCATTGTACTGGCAGGTGTTTACAGGACCTTCAGCCAGATTAAAAGAGAGAAGATTTGCTAATGTTGCACTTCCAGGAAATCCTTCCAGCTAAACATCTGTAGTCATAGCTAACTTACCACACGTGAAGTTTTCTAGGGCTCAGACCAAATTTTTAAAATTATTATTTACTTAACATAAGAAACATTAATAGAAAACTAATATAAAAATAAAATCATTACTGTATTTTAAAAACATGTTGCTACTTGTCAATAAGACTTATCATGATGATTTTCTAATTAGTGTAATTAATGTGCTCAAATTGAAGTGCAATTAACACCAGGATCTTTCATACTTCTCTTTATGTAGATAAAATCAATTATCAATGCATAAATATATTTATACCCACAGCTGGTCTTCCAACAGGTAGTTACTTTACCCCAGAAAGAGCTTTTCCTTGATTCTCAAAGATCAGATACTTTTGGCAAAAATAACCATTCAGTGACTGTATTTAAGGTCTTGGGTGTCTTTTCTATTTATCCAAAAACTCAGGAGTGTTTTCTGGTTCTAGTGATTCCCTTAGATATCCCAAAGCTTAAATGATTTCTTTATTTTAATATGCTAAAGTACTGGGCTATTTTTTTATTGTTTGCTTGTTTGTCTTTTTCTGAACAAAGCAAAAATATCCTGAGTGGTTTTGGTAGTTGGAATGAGCCACCTACCCCTGTCAGACTGAGCATCTTGCAGTCAGATTGTCTCAATTTCACTTGACGAATTGATGTGCCATCAATCTGCAATGCATGAGAAGAATTACATAATTTTTCTTCATTTCAATTGATTTATTACACCATTTATGACTTTTTGTAAAGAGGAAAAGATCACGTAGGTGAAAATAAGGGATTTGTTCCAACATTAAGCAATGTTTCACCAAATGCTTTAATATATGTATATGTTTATATTTCTCACATCGCCAAATCCACTTTTTCCCTACATTATAAGGGAAAAACGAAATTTGGTGACACAGAATGAAGGTGGAGAAGACAAGCTTCAAAGCTAACGGAGGAAAAAGATCCTTAAACTGAGAGGACAAACCAGCAAACCCAGCACCAATTTTGAGCCCAAGACCAGCAGCCCCCTTAGCCACAGCTGATACCTGTAATACCCCTTGAAATTATCCGGGCATTTTAGCAGCGTTTCCCCACGGGGGCCGGGCCTGGGGAGGGACTCGGGGCTGCCAGAGGGGGGACAGCGGAGGGGCAGATGCCCTGGCAGCGGCCAAGGTGGCAAGGACGGGTCCTGGGCTCCTCTCCCCGCCTGGCAGCAGGTGGCGATGCGCGGCCAGCGAAGCCCAGCGCTCCCGGCAGCTTCCCCGGGAGATGCTCCCGGCCTGGAGAGCATCCCTGGGGCCGCCACCGCCCTCCCGGAGCACCTCTGATGGTTTTAAATTCGGGGCAATGCCGGGTAGTTCCTTACTTACCTCTCTCTCTCCACTAGGTAAATCTCTACTTACCCCTGGGAGAGATGGCAGATCCTGTGCAGAAAGGCACAAGATTTATTCCTGACATTGGTCTCTCATTTTATTTTCCCATCTATTTCTAAAATATAACCAGACAAAATTGTTACTAAATGCAGCAATTTTTCCTGCACACACCCTGTCTGAAGTACATGCAGCTTCCTCGTGAGGGGAAGAGGGGCAGGCACTGATCTCTTCTCTCTGATCTCTAGTGACAGGACCATTTGGTCAGGAATGGCCTGAAGCTGTGTCAGGAGAGGTTTAGGTTGGATATTAGGAAAAGGTTCTTCACTCTCAGGATGTTTGGGTACTGGAACAGGGTTTACAGGGAAGTGGTCACAGCACCAGCCTGACAGAGTTCAAGAAGTCTTTGGACTCTCAGGCCCAGGGTGTGATTCTTGGGACACTCTTGTGCAGGGCCAAGAGTTGGACTTGATAATCCTTGTGGGTCTCTTCCACCTCAGCTTATTCTATGCCTCTGTGGCATCCTTTGGGCCAGCTGAAAAACAGCAGCAAGAATATTCATGCCTAAGTATTCCTTTCTGTGACTGTTCCATTCAGTCATCTGGCAGTAACTTGCAACAACCAGAGGTCTCCAGTACTCTCAGATGAGCTTCGTAGATTGTATTGGAGTCCACAAGGAGGCTTTATGTCTGTGTTCTGAAAGGCTTAATAACCTCAGATCATATTCCCTACGTTTGGAAGACCTGTGAGCAATAAGCTCCTTTGATAAAAAGGATGTATGAATTAAAAAATGTTAGTGCAGATTTCACTTCTATCTACAATTGAAGACACATTTAATTTTTTTATAGTCTACGACTAAGACTTCTGTAGCTGTGTTATTACTTGTGTCAATCCTTTCTATCTCTTACAGCCCAAGTACTATTTGCAAGTCAGTTGGAACACTCAGAGCTGTTTCTTGGGAGGGAAGCGAGAAGAAATTTTTGTAATATTTAAAAGAAAATATTATCTAAGTTAAATATGGGCCTTTTTTTCTCGCATTCTCTAAGGCAACATAGCTCTGCAGTACTTTCATAACCATAAGCTGCCTTCAAAACCACATGATGGATGAAATTTCAGTTACAAGATGAAATATTTTTGTTAGTCATTTCAGTTTTGCTGGATAAAGCTCTGCAAAGAAAAATGCGTAAAAGATACACAGTTTCTAAAGCTTCCCTGAAAAGATTTCATATTGAGCACAGCTTTGCAAAAATGTTACCTATCATTAATAAACAGTTGATTGAAAGGGTACATGCAACTTTCACTGACCTCTCCTGGCCTCTCATACCCTGTAATATGTGTAACACCTTCTACCAGCAAGAAGAAGGATAGAAATGAGAAGGAATGAACTGCTCAAAGACAAAGTCAGAGAAAATTTCAGGGCACTCAGATATGACAACAATAAAAATGTAGGTAGGTTTATTTTGGCAGGAAGGAGCTGTGACTAATCATGCACAAAGGAAGCCTCTATGGAGTGGGAGTTTGAGGTGCAGGTGGGGAAAGAAAAGGACAACAGCAGGAGAAAGAACATTAACATGACAAAGAATTTATATTTTCAGTGTCTGTCTGGGTTTCCCTTCATGATGCCTCAGTCTCAGTGTCAGTAATATTCATTAAATCCAAAAGTTGCCATGATGGCAAACTTGTACTTACCTTGAAATTTTAGAGTTCGAAGAAGAGCAAGCAGATGCTCATTAGATGCTGAGAGTTTAGATTCAACTGAAGAGGAGGGGAAGGAGGAAAACAAGGCCATTATCTGCCAAACCTACTCACAGAGCTGTATTCACAAGTACAGCTCTACTTAAAATCAAGCCTACACTCTTCTCTAGGTCAACATCAAAGTAACTAGTCCAGGATTATCCATGTATGAAGTCTGTCCATGCTGCATCTGGGACACTAGCAGGTACATCCAGCTCCTGGGCACTGCAAACGCCATCACAGAGCATGAAGACACAGACAACTGCAACATTTTACCTCCTCAAGTTGTGATCCCCTATGTAGGTCTTTAAATTAATTTGTTTTTGACTTAGAAGTAGAAATTTGCTTGCCAAATGTACTATAGTCTTATATGCTCTGCAGACGATGAAAACCCCCAAGTTTATTTTACCTTAAAGAAATGAGTGTCATGTGCCTAAACAAAAACAAGAATCACCCCCAAAAGTTCAAACCTGTCTGTTGGTGGTTGGTTTTGTTGTTGTTGGGTTTTGTTTCTTCATTTTTTTTTCTTTTCTTTTTTTTTTTTTTAACCTGCCATTGAAGAAGCTGTCACTCTTCCAAGGACAACTGGGCTTAAAACCAAGACCTGGCTCTGTATTGGCCTGTGATATTGTGATATCAAAGTGGCTGGCTTGGTACATAAGCAGCTAAAGGCAATTTGTCTTTAGATCACCTGTGCACACTACTAGAGAGATGCTTCCAGGGCCTAGAAATCCCAGAAGAGGTGAAGAAAGCTTATTCTGCAAGACTCATCTGCATCTGATGAACACCCATATCACAACCCACTCTTGGTGCAAACTGGGAAACAACCCCAGATTTTCAGCATTCCCATGACTGAAATGTAACAGAAATGGCCAGAGCCGGCCTAAGTGGAAGGGGAAAAAAAATCTCAAATGTTAAACAACTACTGGGAATTAGCTGAATACTGCATTTAAAAAAACCAACCAGACCTGACCTTCTGAGAACTCTCCGCAGGGATTTCAGCTCAAAGAAGCAGCTTGAAAAGATAGTAAGTAAAAGTGTCCCAGGAGAGAGAAGAAAATATTTAGCCTCTCCAGAACAATGGGGAATCATCAACCTGGTAACTGTTGCAAAGATAAAACTGGATCCTATGTGCTGAAAATCACAGAAGGACACAACACTAAAATGCAGGACTGTGTATAAAGAACAGAAATTGAGGAGACACCCATCCCCTGTAGATTATTAATTAGTTTCTTGGCAATGTCTGCTCTGCATTGATAGCTTAGAAGCATAAGCCCAGCTCAGCTGGGAAATCATACAGAGGTGAGACCATGCAGAGAAGTCAAGACTAGATGTTCAAGTCCTTAGATTATATCAGGCTAATCAGATTTTCTACTGGAAGATTGTTTCTTCATTTGTACCTAGAATCAAAATGAAAACTACCAGAAGATGAAGAGAATAAATATGTCCTGAGCCATTAAACAAAAAATAGGTGAAAGACATTCTTGCAGGTCAAATCAATCTGAAGCAGGCTTGCTAGCTGTCTTATGAACATTCCAGTTTGATAAATAAAATTATATACTCAATCATCATCATCTGAAGAATGATAATATGCAGCAGTTTTACATTCTGGAGTCAGTAGAATTCTTATCCTTAAGACAATGATTTTCCCTTGAAAATTCCAAAACTATATGAATGGGTCCCAAATTCATCAGAGTTCAGTCCTATGGCATTTGCAGGCCTTTTCTTGACATCAACAGAGATCAGTACTGTTATGTCTCTGAGTCTTACTGTGTAGTGTAAATACAACTTGGCTCTATATCCAAATTTTTAACACACACAAAAACAATAAAGTTCAGAGACACACGAATATATCCTGAGGTTTACATATTCCTTAGCTCTGGAAAAAAAAAAAAAAGAAAAAAAAAAAGAAAAAAAAGAAACTAAGACTGCAGTTCTCATCTCTGTGTAAGTTTTAACAAAAAATTTGAGTGGGGATCATCCATCCCTGCTGGCCAATTTCTAAGAAAGAATCTGTTTAATTGTGGGGCTGTTACACTCCATATTGCATGCATCTTAATCAAAGTAGGAAAGACTGTAAGTTATAGTCCAAGCCAACTATTAGTCTAATCAGTGTATTGTGCTTACTGTAACTCAGTAATGAGTTGTTGGACAGATTTCTCTAAGCTGTACAGAATGGCCTGGAAAAGACCCAGTCACTTTACACATCTGAGAATGTCACCAGGAGGAGAGGAATTAGATGTACAATGCTATTGTGAGAAAATGCTCACATCATTTCCAATGGATTTTTGGCACTCCCACAGTACACAAAGGTGAATAAGTTGCAGTGACAATACAGGAACTGTGAGTAGTAACATTCACCTCAGGAATATTTATGTCAGATACCTGCAGCCTAACTACAGGAAAGAAAACCCAAATGAAAGCATTCTTCAGAATTACGCTTTAAACCAAAGTCAAGCCTGCTAGGCATGAGTTGGAAGGATTCAGTCAATACTGCTGTGTCATGTTTGGAAGTAATTGGTTTGTTTTATAAATCTCTCTGCAAATAAAAAGCTATGCCGAGTATGTCTAAGACTGTGTAAACATTGCCCATTTGTGGCATCCAAATTCTGTTTCAAGCTAAATAATTTAAAATGCTGTCTGCAGAAACCTTACAGCAAGTAATGAAGGATGTAAGTCTGACATTTCACTTTACTACAGTTACTTTGAGATTTTGATTTCTGGAACACTCTAATGGGTCCCTGGGTATCTAGTTAATGAATTCAAGGTTCAGAACCTGACCACACTCTGCTCCTGCCTCTAGAGTAATAACACCCTGAAAGAGGGTTCCTAAAAATGCCAGTGCTCCCATGAGAGAGCTGGAATGGAGGAGCTGGAAGTTTTGGGCTGCCCTGAAGCAATTTATACAGCAGGGATGCCCATGGGACAAACACACCAGGGACTCCTTTGCTGCTTCACAGACCTCATGGCCAGAAACAGGAATCTTATAGAGCAGCTCTGAGTAAAATATTTACTCAACTCTGGAGCAGCTGCTGAGTAAAATATTTTGCTTCAAATCTATTTTATTCAGGTGCTTCTGAAATAAAGTTTTCTTTGATTTCTCATTCATAGATTTCTGCTTTAAATAGAAGAAATCAAATTAAAAAAATCAAATAATGTCTCATAAACAATGGCTCCTGGCTGTTCAGTGATCTCCATATGGCAATGGTCTCTAGAATAAATGTTTATTTGAGGACAATTCCCATTATTTTCCTGCGGGTGAATAAAAGAATAACAAGGATACTGGGTATAGCTGCGCTGCAGCTTGCTTTAGTTCCAAAACAGCATGAAATAACTGCAGCCTTAACATCTACACAAGAGAGAACTATACACAATATTGCAAAAAATCAATCAATGCAAGAATCTTTAAAACAATATCTGAAGTGGAAGTAGAAAGAACTCCAGCTCTGATCCATCACTGCTTTCACTCAAATAACAGACTAATTTAAAAAACATAGCCTGCAGCAATCTTCAGGAGAGCAAAGAAGAAGGAAGAGAATAAATTTAATCAACGGGTTTTCCCTTCAGAAGAGGCTGGTTTGGTAAACATCTACAGGGATCACCAACAGGCATGCTGCTGCTTTGCTTACTTTTTCTGAATGGTGTCCTAGGCCTGAAGAATTTCAGCTTCCTGCTCAGCTGCACCTCAGTGAAAACTGGCACCATGGGCACAAAGGTGTCTGGGAAACTGTGTTCCTTCCTGTGCTTCCCAAGCAGCAGCTGCAAACCTGCTGGTGGGCATCTCCTCTGAGTTACAGCTCAGATAAATATTATTTTGATATTTAAAGCACAAGTTCTGAAAGTGAGGTCAAGCAGGCATCTAGAGCTAAATTTTTCCCTCTCCCACCATCCCTGGCACCTACCTTTTTTTTTTTTTTTCTCTCTGGAAAGCTTAGTGGGCTAAGAGTCATTCTCTAAACAGCAGCAGTAGAGTGGAAATACTTAACCAATGACTGGCAAAGTAGACCCTGTTTCAGAGAGGAAAGAGTGAGGCAGTGTGATTTCCATTTTCTGTCCTCTTGGGCACTTTCCAGCAGTTCTGCAAAACTACCCTCACCAGCAGATAGAATTTGGCCAGTGGCAGGATGACAGCACCAGTGCCTCAAAGTAACTGGAAAAAACCCTGCTGCCAGGGGTATGCCCAGTGTTTTCCAGAGGTATTTAAGATAAAAGATATCAGCAATGATCCTAAGCAAAGGCTAGCTTTGGTCAGTTCAGGGTGTAGAATGGTATTTCAGCAGGAAATATTCCAGAGGTCCTGGGAAGTTGGATTGCAGCCACTTAAACAATTTCTAGGATGGTGTCAGTCAGTGTGGACAGCAGAAACAATGCAATTATGCACTGAGCCTAAGCAGAGGTCAAGACTGGGCCGCCTCTGCAACCACAAAACCAGCTTAAAAGCAAAACCAGTGACACATGCAGAATGACAGCTCTTCTTCTGCATCTACTGGATACCACTGCCCCATCTCCTGTTTGATTGAAAACTGGAAGTGTGAGAAAGAATCCCTGGAAATCCAGACCTCAAAGTCTCAACATTTAGGCTGACTGAACAGGTGGGGAGAGTGGGACATGGAAATTACCTTTCTAATGAAATGGCTGAGACTGCCCCAATACACTGTGTGGTGCTCAATCTCTCCTTTCCAGATGGGACCTCTTGCAGCCCAAGAAAAGATAGCACACTCCTGCTGCCAGCAAGAGAAGAGGCTCCCACTGCCTGTACTCAGAAACAGCCTCCCTGATGAGCACCTGAGTGCCTGACCTCAGTCTGTTCTCTAAAGAATGTTTTAACAGCACAGTGCCTCCAACCAAATACAATTACAAGTGACTAGAGAAGGTCTGTGGTAAACATCACCAGTAATTGCTCAGAGACACTGGAGCCAGTGAAAGCTGCTGTGATGTAATACCCTTGAAGCCAGGAGGTGCCTGGACCCCTAAGCAAGAAGTTGATTCTGGCAGGAACATCACCCAGTGCCTTTGGTGATGATTTCCTCCGTATTTAGAGGCAATTAGGAGATGTTATTTTGAGTAGTGATACAACAAAGGACTAAATGAAATATTCATCCCCAGTTGCTTTAGAAAATTAGCTCCATAGGAATTTTTGGCATTATTTATTAGATCATTAAAACTCTAGTAAACATTTGTTAAATTATAAAAATTGGACTTAAGGAGAGAAATTGCAAACGCATATTTGCCCAGCCTTGCCTCCCTGTTTACATGTCTGTGGACTATGACTGATCAATACTATTTTGGGGTTGCATTAACTTTTAAGTCCAGAAGCACACTTGCATTAAATGAACAACTTTGCAATGCATTTGCTTCAGATTCTCCAAGAAAAATGAAACTTGGCAGTTCAAGTTACCCTGGCTGTCGGACAGCCTACAAAATGTTTTTCTCAAAAGCCTTTGCACAGCTAAGAGTGGTTTTGGGTTTGTTTACTTCATTACAAAAGGCAGAGAGGGACTGGTAACATCACTGTCATATCAAAATGTTTCCAAGAAAGAGTTAATATAATTTAAATAAATGAAGCCAAGAAGATGATGCTTTCATTGTTAATCCCTAATCAGGAGTTAGAAGGGTGGAATAAATACAATGACATAAATATTCTGCCCATGTTTCAGCTTGCTTGCTTTACTTACCAACATTGTGGGATACAAAAGGGGTTTTAGGGTGGGTTAGTTTTTCTCCCATTTAATAATTCCTATTAATAGTTTAATTGAACATTTGGCTGTAATATTGTATTAATCTTAGTTATGACATTTGCAATTTGTAATACTTTGATGTAACTTAATTGGTTAAATTCACTAGATAATGTGTGTACCTTAGGCTGAAGATGGAAAGGAGGGGAAAAGGGAGAACACTGGGCTTACTGGGCTTGCTTCAATGGGTGATGTGAAAAATCACCAGATGCATAATTTCTAGGGAAAACTAAGGAACATTAATATTACACTGTTCTTGTGAACAAAAGCAAATACTGCAGACAAAGAAAATTATAAGTTTGAGAATGAAAGCTCCTCGTTGGGAAAAAAAAGATAAGAAATTCAGTTTTCAATAGAATGAATAACACCATAAACTGCAGAAGGCTTGTCACTATGAAAAAAGCAGCAAGTGAGTTTAATTAAAAATGTTTCTTTTTCATGTAAGAACATGCAGTCTGGGCTGTGTCAACATGCTGCCTGTCTAATCTGAGTATAAAAAGAGCTGGTAGCAGTGAGATAAAGTGCAAGCCAAAGCAATGGTTTGGTTGTTTGGATTTTTTTCCCCTTTTTTTTAATTGTTACTCTACCTCGTGGATTTTTTTTTTTTTTAATTCCCAGGCATTAAGCAGCCTTACCCTCTTTCTCAGATCCATATTAAATTGGCTCATTCAGTTTGGAACTGTAAAACACCAGCAGATTAGATCTGGATTGTAAAGGGAGCAGAGACATCCCTCTTGAATATTTAGATACGCTGGACCCAAGAAGTTTTGGAGTGCTCTTGGCCCAAAGACCTATGAACGTTTTTCAATTTATTGCAAACTGAGCATTTGAAGAATACAAAGGAGGGTTGTGGAGATGCATGAAAACTCGGTAAGGCTCTCACATGCAGCAGATATACTGAGTACACTCAATGTTTTCCTGATCTGCAGAGGAAGTAAATTTCTATGTCATATCCAAGACTCTTACTAACCTTTAAAACCATTTGGAGGAAAACAACATGACCCAAAGGTCTTTGCAAGTGTTGGAATGGCCTCTGATGAGTTTTGGCTCAGAGTAAGAGGATTCTCACTGCACAGAGTATATCCAAACATGGAATCAGTCAGACTAGAGGAAAAAAAGAAACAAAGGAGGATTAAATTCCAGAACTTAAATACAGACCTCCAGCATATTCTGACAAACCTTCCCACCATTTGGGAATTATCCAAAAACCTGAAGAGCATAAAAATCAGACAAGTTCTATCCATTAAGCACCTTTTTAATTTTGCTAGTTGGTACATTTGCATGCCAATGATGCTACAAACAGTTTTCAAGTAATAGTTACTGTTAGGAAACAAAGATTTCAATTGGTTGCAAATTATAGCATCCATGTTCTGCAAATTTCAGATTATAGTTTTAGTACTATAATCTAGTTTCTTTTCTGCATGTATCTGCTTGCTAGGAACAAAAAAACTGAAGTTAAAAATTGTATTAATACAAGTACAAGAGACTTCAATTCTCAAATGCAATTACAGCGAATCAAAGCTGAAGACCTGGAGTAGAACAAATTAAATGGTGTAAGTACTAATAGTTTTTCACCTTTTATACAAAAAAACAAAATAGAAAACCCCCAAAAATACAAAAAAAAAAAAAACCACCAAAAAAAAAAACCCAAAAAAGAGAGAAGAGTTGAGTGAAGAAGTTTTGAAACCCCTGCTCAGTCTCCAATGCATCACAGTCAGGAGCAGCCCATTGTCATCAAAGCCCAGAGACTTCCGGTGGCAGCAGAATCAATAGGCAGTGTAAAGCCATGTATACATTAATATTAAATGTTCTTATATCTAAGAATAAAATAGCAACCTTTCTGGTGACCAAAAGACAGAAAAGTGTTAAAATGCACATAATTTTTATCTGCAAAAATATCCTTAATTTAAAACTAACATAATCCTTTTTCTTTCCCTTCTGCAAATCAAGGAAGCTATTATTGACCCTACAGTGTCCTTGATTTTTTTTCCCTGCCAGTATTTTATTCCTGGCAACTTCTGTCAAAGGACTACTGAAGAAAACAATATGGGCACACACACACAAAAAAAAAAAAAAAAAAAAAAAAAAAAAAAAAAAAAAGGACTGAATCAAGTGTCTAGCTGACAAAGAGTTTAATTTTTTAATTTCCTTTTGACTCCTAAACAGAATGCAGTGAACATTCTCTAGCAGCTGTAGCTTTAAAGAAATAAACAATGATTTCAAACATAGACAAACATACCTCTATTGTTTCAGCATCCAGCAACAGTGTTCACTTATATGCATTTTCAGGAGAAGCAATAAATCATCTGATGACTTTAAGATTCATGTAAGTAGTGTAAAAACTTATACCTGGGGATACCACATGGGACAGAAACTGGAAAAAAAAAATTTTATACATTAATTCCAGCATGCAGACATAGTGGATTTTCCCATCCAAAAATTCAAAAAGAAAAAGGAAGATGACGTAGGGAAATTAAGTTAACATAAGTTCGAAGCAAAATCACGGGGAAATTAATACAAGACTCAACTGATAGCCAGTGAAGGATGCAATTAATGCCATCAACACAGTTTTATGGAAAATATCCTTAGGGATCTATGGTTTGGAGAAAATTACATGTATGTAATATAGTGTAGTATAGTATACACAGACCTTGCTGAAGTGCTCAATTAATCATTGCAGGGTGTTCTAATAAAAACTGGCTCAAATAAATGGATTTGATGAATTTACAGACTGGCAGGCACAAATTTATTGAACTACCATAATTGAAATCACATTGTTTCTAGAGATTCTTTTTCATCGAAGTAAATTAGATCTGATACAGCTCAATAGTTTTCATTAGTGATCCAAAAGTATTTTTCAAAACTTGGATGATCAGATTTTCAGATGACAAAGATGAGCAGAATAAAAATATTAAGACAGACAAGCAGTCATAGAAAATCACAGAGACAGTCTGAGAAGGATGAAATTTTCATTTTAAGAGGTTTCAGTGCAAAGCACTGTATTTAAACACACAGATTACAAAACAAGCTTAGAAGATGACAACATCCATCCTCGAGCAATAACTCAAGGAGGACTCTGCCACAATATTCACAAATTCCACTCTGAAGTCTCTGTGTCACAGTATGATCGAAAAACAAGTCCTGCAGGAGACTTCAAGAGCCTGAACACCTTATGTACTGCTCCAGTGCTTCATAAACACAGAACAAAAGGCAGCATCCCTTATCCCCAGAAATTAAATAGCGCAGATGCAAGAGATGCAAATTTACTGACAAGTGAAAACAAGAATTCACATATCCCTGTAGCATTCACGTGGGTCTGCTGCAGAGGCTAATTAAAACAGCAAAACAGGTAACAAATCAAACACTACATGGGGAAAAGGGCAAACATGACAGTCTGAACCCTGCTGCATTTCTCAAGGTGAGCAAGAAAAGAGAAACTGTGCAGACGTAAAGGTCCCTGAAACAAAGCCCAGTGCTGGAGCCAGCTGAGGCTCTGTGATTCATAGCATTAATGATCCTGGCTCCTGGGAAGGTCTGGGATCATGTATGGACAAGGATCAATTCTGACAGCAACAGCAGCACATTTCACAAATGGAAATGATGAATGCTGAGAGGAGGTTTGTGGATTAAATGCATGGAACTTTTTTATTTCTGCACCTCTAACCCCTTGGCTAATCCCTCCTTGACAAGGTTTCCCTGTGTTCTTCTCCAGGGAAAGGTGCAGGAGCTAGCTCTGATCCTGACTAAACAGCATCTTAGCAAAAGTACAGTGGGAGTCTTCAAGGTCACCTCTAGTTCTGGCCCTGGCAATAAGTCAGAACAATCTAGGCTTGTTCTAACCTGTGACAACCAATTAGGACCACCAAGGGACCACTGACCAGCAGAGATTTGACATCTGTATGAGACATTTCCCCATCCCTCTCTAACTCATCCTCCTAATGTGCCTTCTCCTTGGAGTCCTACATTAGTAAAAATATGCTGGCAGTGCTCCAATGTATGTAAAGAACCTTGATGAATGTAAAAGACAAGCAGAGGGATCAGGCATGAACACATTTTGCTATTTCAGGACTCCTACCTGAGGGGTGGGGGCCAGAAATGGCCTCTTCCACAGACAAACATCACTGTGAAGATCTGCCTACAGCACAGGAAAAGATTGGGAAAGCTGCTGTCTCTGGAATACCTAGCAGGGTTTTGATTACACAAACTCAATTTTTGGTCAGCAATTCTTTGCTAATGCAACAATCCTTCCTGTCGTGCCATGCATACCAGTGGGAGTTCGTAGCCTCTATATACAAGCTGCTGAACAGAAAAAAATACTCTTGCCACCTTCTTTTAATGAAAAAGCCACCAAAAGATAAGAGGCTAGAAAAATCTTTCTCTGCAACACCTCCCTTTCCTCAGAGACACTGAACATCCAGCTTGCCAGGAGAGACAAAACCTTGACTTCCTGAAGAAAAGCTCTGCAGCTTTGTTTACACTTGACATTTAATATATCACATAAAAATCTGCTGAGCGTCAATAAATGAAACCAGGTGATCATTCAACTTCTTGAAAATTTCCCTTTACTGTGCACACAGACTGGTACAAGGCACTCCTTCCTTTTCCAACCATTACAAGGCAACAGCACATGGTAACACAGATTTGCCTTCAAACACTGTGAAAAGTAAACACCTGCTGTTACCTGATTCCTGGTAAGAGTGTAGCACCTGGCTCTTCAAAAGATCTCTGTAAAATAAACAAAACCAATAAGCAAATTTAGGTATCACTTACCAGTACAATAACCCAAAGGAGTAAATGTAAAGCATTTGGGGCATGAAATGTGTGTTTGTGACTGTACAGCACTTAGAACAAGAGAATTTGGAAGCCTGATTAGGCTGAAACCCTTAGACACTGCCACCCAACAATTAATAACCATATTAACACTAAGAATGAAAACACAAACTGACCATGTTGCTATGGAAATATAAGAATATGGCAAATACACCCTCCTGAATAGAAGCCAATAACTGGGAATGGCAGAAAGGAAATGAGCCTAAAATTAATTACTAAAATAATTTCTTTAAAAGTGGAAGGAAGAAAGCCTTGCCTAGTCACACATCAGGAACCACAGGTGCATTAGTATTTGCACTGATCTATACCTCTAATAATATTTCTAATAGCATAGCTACAAAAAGGATGAGAAGAAGAAAAATGAAGTAAACAAACAGAAGGTAGATAAATACAGTTATTAATCTAAAATCTTTTAAAAGCATAAGCTTTCTTTCTTATAAGAAACAATTTCACATCCTTTTCTGGTTTGAAAAGGAAAGCTCTACTACAATATATCAAGGTAAACAATTTGAGTGCCAAAACACAACTAAAGTGCTATTCTCCACTGAAGTTTATACACCAGCCAATGCAGGGATACATCTAGAGGAGATGTTTCCTTTTATCACCACATTTCCATCTGGTAACTTCAAATCAGAGCACAGATCCCTGTGCTTCAGTTTGCATTTCTCTTACCCCTAAGGGAGGGCAGCACCTTTCCCCAGGTGCTGAGTTTTTACAAACTCTGCATCTGATTCCAGCTCATGGAGGCAGTGGAATTGCTAACTGAGAGTAGTCATAGTGCCTGTATGGATAAGAGGAGCAATTTAAACAATATGTGGATAAACTTAATAGAAGGGCAATGAAGAGGCCCAGGAATTGACAGCGCTTGTTCAGGAAATCAATGAGCAAGAGGGGACAGAAATGCTTTTACTTTCCTTTCCCCATAAAGCAATCCATCTCCAGAAACGTTTGCTTTTATCTTTTATCTATTGACAGAGATAAAATATCTAATAGATATTTTATCTATTGAAAGAGACCCGCATCCACAATTTCTCATAGGATCATCTTCCCTGAGGTTCTGCTGTGTTCATACCTAAGAGATGTCTGCTGGTTTGTGTTTGTGCTATTCTATTCTCACAGCTTCTGGAAATTTCCTCACATGTACTGGGAGTTATTTCCCAGCAGAGGTGATTCATTTTTCACACACAAAACATTCTGGTGATTTTGAAAGCATTTATTTTTTTTGTGCTCATATGTTCTTGTACTGATTCTCCCTCAAAATTGCGGCTGAGAATATCATTCTGTCATCCTTGTGGTGGAAAAATCTGATAAATATAGGGACAAGGACATAACTCTGTTATCTAAATCCTGGGCAGTACACTGCCTTTTGAAATACTGATACATCACTGCTTGAAGACACTCTTCTGAGCTGGATTCCCACTTCAGCATGAGGAAGCAGGGAAGACATTCCCCCACCTTGAAGCACACATTTTGGGCACAGGTACCCCCACTGAGAGCAGTGGATTCACAAGCTCTGCTCTTTCAGGATTGCCCTGGTCAGCACCAGATGACACAGAGTGTATGCAGAGCAGAGGAGCAGGTTGGTCAGACAGAGATTTAGAGGGGAGGGAGCAGGAAAACTACACACATAAAAAACATCTATACACCAACACCCCACCTTGCCCTGGGTAGAAGACTGCTGTACACAGCCAAGATCTGTGCAAGCCCCCAGTTTGGTTTTAAAAATAGATGCCTAGTAAATGACATACATCTCTATTCACATCCCAGTAACAATTTGTACTTTTCTTTGCCCACGGACAGTACACAGAAATACATTAATAATAACTTAAATGCCAGAGGTTATGGAAATGTTTCAGTAGAATAAATAAGAGACACAGACATTATGGACAGAAAACTTTTGCACAACAGGTAGATGAAAAAAATGGATTATTAAAAGTAACTTGTCATTTTTCATCTAAAGACACCACCATCAATAAAATCAGTTCTTTGCTTCGATGCAAGTTCCCTTAAAGGCAGACTCCATCACTTCACATTGAAATGAGAGTTGTGTCTGAAGCATAAAAAGAAGATTGAAGACTTACCTGGAGTAAAATAAACAAATTGCAGTACAAAGCCTGTGGGCATCTAAACGCTGTTGGTTCCTTTGAAAAATATTTCACTATATTAGTAGAGTGGCAGGAAGGTCTGCTTCTCATTTCATTGCTCTGAATTGTCTAAGTATTTAAAAGTCATGGGTTAGGAATATTTTTCACCCAGGACCAAAAAAGGAAGTACCCATGGGTGTTGATTATTGAGCACAGAACAAGATATCATTCTTTAGTTCACAGAAAAACTCAAGCATTAAAAAAAAAAAAAAAACCTGAAGCTGAGCACCATGGATAAACTGCTGATAAATGACTTGGTCTTAATTAGAAAAAGAAAACAGCCAACAGTGAAATATATGTTTTTAAAAAGAAAAGAAACAAATGACGACTGATGCGACTGGTCCCCCTATTTCAATTGATTAAGTTATCTCCCAAGAAAAAACAACACTAGAAAACAACAGATACAGAAAGAAAAAATACCAGCAACCAAGACAGAACGTTAAAGAGGCAAGCAGGAGCACCATGCCAGTGCTTTGAACAGCAGGCTCTACTCCACAGAGGCTTTGTCTGGAAAGCTGATTTACCATTTATGCTTTATAGGCAGTGTTCCAATAGCTGGTCTAATCACATCTTTTTTTTCCCTAATATTTTCAGGAAGCCACAAAGGTTGGAAATGTAATATAGTGTCTGGTAGCTTGTGAAAGGGCTGTAAACGTGAGAAGAAAGGACAGAAGACCTTTGTTTCCATCTTTTCTAAACTGAATTTCAGTGCAGGTATTGTTTAGGATTGGATACAATACTAAGAAATCTGTATTGTACTGACAAGGCAACAACCAGAATTGAGTTCTTACACTGAACTGGAACCCAGTTTGGACCTGAGACATCAAATGTTCCATCAGCAAAACTTGAAAAAATTATGAAGCATTAAAGGCAAATTTTTTATTACAACTCTCCAGCCCTCTGCACCTGCTCTAGACAGAAACAAACTTGCTCACTGAAACTGAAAATAGTGATAAAAATGTATAAATGGAGAGGAGAACAACAGTGCACCCATAAACAGCATCTGTCTTTATAGAGGAGACATAAAACGCTGGGGAAGAAATAACGAGTTTTATGGAGGCAATGAGAAAACAAAGATAATTAAAACCAAAACTAAAACTCTTTACTATTATGATGCCCATATAAAAGCTTCCCTACAGGAAAATACAGAAACTACATCTGAATATACATGTATGAGGGAAGAAAGTTCTCTTGGCACCACAAGTAAGTGACAAATCTTTTTCATTTTTTTTTTTTTAATTCAAATGAGCACCAAAGAGACTTGACCTTAGCTCCTGTAATGCTAGAAACATCCTGGTGTCACTGGCCTCCAGTCACTGAAGGACACCCAGCAGAGGCAGGATCACTATCACCTTCTCTTTGCCTGTGTTCCTCATGTCCAAGTAAGATGTTTGTTTCTGTAGAGAGGGAAAAATTTGCCTTGTCTGGATGTTCAGCTAAGACAGTAGATGTAACAATTAATTTCACTTGTATTCATCCTTTCCTACAAGTGCCTGTAAGTGGAAACATTGCCTGGCCCTGCAGCAGTGTTCTGGTCACTGCACTTCTGCAGCGCTCCCATCAGCAAGCTCCAATATTCATTAACCACCATAAAACATCCCCTCCAGTCACAAAACTGTATGTGGTGCAGACATCAAGCTGTTTTGAGAGCTAAAATGCAAATAAATACCAACAGTTACACCTTCCTTCCTGCTCATTAGGAATATTCTCCAATCTCCGACTCTTGCGTATTTTTAGCTGCAATTAAACTTTTCAAGAATAATACCACGCCATAGCCAAAGTTCTGGCAGAGAGAATCCATTCCCTGGTCTTGTAGGCAGTGATGGACAGAACAGTACCTATTTCTCCATCTCTCCAGAAACCCTTCCAGAAGGAGATGCAGGGAACCTCACCCAACATCCTGCCACCTCCTAGTGCAAAACAGAAAGGCAGCTGAAAGCACAGACTGCACATATAGCTACTGCTGTAGGGATAACAAAGATCCCATTTCAAGGTTCATCTAAAAACCCTTCCCTGTGCATGGAAGTCTGCCAGTGCTTTAAGGAGGTGACTGTGTGCCAAAGGCCCATTTCAGAGTACATATAACAATGTGCCAGGGTGTAAAGATTGCTTCCTCTTCTTTTACACTTTGCTATTGTTAATAATGCAGCTAAATTTAAAATACCGTGCACCTAAGGTCTCTGGGGGGAAGCAAAGCCTCTGCAGATGAAGCAGCTTAAACCAAGAGCATCCTTTCCTGCAAGTCCTGTCTGAACCACCAGCTGTGTCTGCCAGAGCAAGCCTTGCCTTAATTCCCTCTCCAGACAATAAGGTCAGACTGGCAACAAGACAGTTTTCTTGCAACAAGATTATTTTCAAAAAAGCAAACACAAACCCCAGCCCATTAACAGCTCCATGTAAGACACTGGAGCTTTAAAACCAAGAGTTTCAGCTCTGTCTCCACGTTGCCTATGACTTCATGCCAGGACCCACCCCCCTGCTGCTGCTTCTTCACCTCCCCTTCTTCTTTGAACTCACCAAGCACATATTGTACAGCAGATGTGTGAGCTGCCTTCCCTCCTACCTTCCAGCCACCAAAGCCCTTAAGTCAAGTCTCTGCTGAAAACACTCTCAGAGATTCTGTCACGCCCTTGACCTTTTCGGTTGCACTCGTCTCTGTACCTGTTTGCACCATGGAAATGAAATGCCCCAAACATACTTTCTGTAGGATCTTCACCAGGCTTCATCTTTGCCCCTTTCCTTGCTCTCTCCATGACAAAACCAATGAACAAATCCCTGGAGGTACCACCCGCCCACAGCACCTTTCCTACAGTGTTCTCTCACCTGGGGAAAGAAATACACTGCATTTATCCTCTGAGAAACAAGACTGACTGTAATTCTGGTGCACAGATGAGAAGTATGTAATCCTGTTTGTTATTTGCAACAGTAGTCTGCAAGACATCAACCAAAATTAAAGCTTTTGGATGCTAATTAGGGCAGGCTGGCAGATATTTTACGAAGTTTTCTTCACCTTTTTGACCAAACTCTTAGCAAAGAATATTAAATAATAACAACCACCACAATCATCAACCACACAAACAAACAAAACAACTCCAAGTCCAATAAACAACCACAGAAAAGAACATTTTGGATTATTCAGATTCTTAAAGAAGCACTTCTCATTACTTCAGCAATGCAGGTCAGGTTAAGATACACGTTCAAAACAACTGAAAGCTGATGGAAAATGCAACCAAAGCTCTTCCTCTCTGCTAAGGGCACCTATAAACAGTTTATTTGTTTGAGTCATCTCAGTTTTTCTGATGGCATCAGAGGAGACAACAAGCCTACCTCCTCCACTAAAGGTAGCAGATGAACACTAAATTTAAGCAGAACCCATTTTTCTCTTTTGGAAGGATTTGCTTAAGTTTCTCAATATGCTGTCCACATCTGTATGCACAGAATTGAGCATTTACCATTCTCCTGGGCTGATTTTCCTTCTCTTCAAGGAATAATGCAGGGCTGAGGAAGTGTCAGAGAGTTATGCAGCCCTTGTCACTGTCAGTATTATTTCATACTGTTTTCTTAGCAACTCCTGCTGAGATTCATAAACTGTTTGCACATAAGGATTACTAATGAAGTTCAGTCTCATTCTTCAGCCCCCCTCCAGCCTACAGTGCAAAATATAGCTGTACCTTGGATTTATAAGACTGACTAATCATGCATGATACCTATAATTTATCTATGGAAAAGGCACCAGTTTCTTCAAGTGGATTCCTGCCTTTTTCCCCTTTGCTCAGCTCTGTATCAAGACAGAAGGACTATTCTGTGGACAGGGAGGTAATCAAGACATCTAATCACAGAATTTCAGAATGGCAAAGGCTGGAAGGGAACATTGGTGGGATCATCTGGTCCAACCTATCTGCTCAAGCAGTGTCCCCTGGAGCAACGTGCACAGGATTGTATCCAGGTAGTTCTTGAATGGCTTCACGGATGGAGACTCCACAACTTCCCTGGGCAACCTGTTCCAGTGAGGGTCCCACACACAGCAAATCAGAGCCTTCAGTCCCAAGGGAACTATTAGTAGGTTTCAATACCCTTCCTACTCTTTAGGAAAACTTCCCACCATTAAGAGGTAAAGGATGATTGATCTGGTATTTACAGAATCTGGGAGTAAAGATGCACATTACAGTGCTGCCTTAACCTAAATTTTCATATCTTGGTACTGAGCAAATGCTCTGAAGTCCAATAAAACTGATGATGACACAGATTTCTTGGAAAAACCTGGCTAGCACAAATAGCCTTTCACAGATCAGGTAGTTATCCCTTCCAGGCTGTATTTTATAGTCCCAAAATACTTGGTGTTAATATTCATCCTCTATTAACAATATCAAAGCATCATACGAAAAGTTCTGCTACATTTTCACACATTTAACAATTTTCAGATACAGAAATATTTTTCAGAAGCCTTTATAGATAAGAAGAGACAAAGTTTAAAGATAGGAAATCTTTTTCTGTGCGTCAAATATCTATCTGTGTAGCCTTTACAAAGAGCACATCTGGAAGAGAGAGGAAGAAA